TTGGAAGAGTTTGACATATTAAAATGTATACCGAACCACAATATTAATATTTTGCACATGCACACATTAGAAATAACATGGAATTGTCACAAGCTGAGGGAGTAGGTTTTAAAATTCTGTCTTCGCTTTCCTCCACTACAGCAATTCAGCAAGAAAACTGTCTGCATTTTACAATTAAGAAACAGATACGTACTCATCATGAACAATGGTGGGGCCATCCCTTGTTAAGGCCTCTTCCTTGATGACGTTGATAAGTTCAAAGGTACTGCTTATGGGGGCATCTGGGTTAGGCCATTTGGGACACTGAAAGTGTCGAACTTCTAGGACATAGTCATCCTGTAACCAATACAACATCAATCATATTCCATCCTTTATTATTTCACATATCTGTAATGTGATGACTAGAACTTGCTCCGGGGGAAAGCATGTGTTATAATTTTGAATAATGTCAGGTTAACCAAACAGCAACTGGTAAGAAGAAGAATAGCAGGGAGGGCTGCCTGCCATTAAAAAATGAGCAGGTCATGTTAGTGAAACAGTAGACTCTCATTTTGTTCAGGCAAAAACTTCAAGTGGCAACAAATTATAAGAGACCCTGTATCCTACTCTATGTTCTTATTTTTAAAATTAAAGGAAAAAAAATAACAAGGAAGTGGTAGGGATCATTATTTAAATTACTAAAGAGGGCTTCCCGCTTTACCCACCACACAAGGCAGCTATTATACATCAAAATGTTTACTAACAAAAAAAAATAATTATCATCTCTGCAACACATTGCAAGGCTTACATTTCTGATGGCAAAGAAAATATTGAGCTCTAGTATATTGTTTTTATAATTAGGTCAATAGACCTATTTGTATGCATGCTGAATCAGAAGAACTGTTACATTTCATCTAGCCAGCTGGAAAAAGCAAATATTTGAAGGAAGAAAAAAGGGAAATGTACATATTTAAAATTAAGTCTTAACTCAAATGCCTGAGCCTGTCTTGAGGGCAGTAAATTACTTCATTATTACTTAGAAGCATGATCCAGGGCCCAGGTATGTGCTGTTACTGAGGAACTGAGGTTTAGGTTACCTGTGTAGCTTCAAGGATAAAGTCATGGATGATAATTTGTTCTTCATTAGAGAGGCACAGTCTGTCTTTGCTGATAAGGGTGACAGTAAAGGCCTCACAGTTCATGGATTCTTCTCGACTTGGCCAGTACACAAACTCATCTTCTGCCTTTGGGAACCAGGAAAAAAAAAAAAAGTAAATAAACCTCTGCAGTGCCATCAAACATTTCTTTTTGAATTTTCTTGCAAACTGATTTCTTATGTTTGCCGTTTCCCATACCACTCAAGCCATCTTTTAAATTGAATTCATAAAATTGTATCTCCATCTAATCATGCCATGTTCAATGGTTATTGTATTCTACTGTAAAACATACTTTGATGATAACCATTTCCTAGCACCTCTTACCTGTCACTGTAGCAACCCCAAATATTCCCTTTAGAGGGGATGTATTACCCCCAGTTAAGAAATGTTCTGTAATATAATTGACATAGTAAAAAAGGTGACAGTAGATAATCTAGGTCAATTAATTTTAAATTACTATTTCACAATTGCTTAAACAACCAAGACATGCTAATTGTTATTTCCTAACAATTGAGTAGCATTTTGCAAAGGACTTTCATAAACATTCTTATTTAATACTTATGATATACTTTGAAAAAATTTTATTGTGCATATTTAACATATATGAGATACATATAAGATAGTTAAAATGTTACTGTAGTGAAGCAAATTAACATGTCTGTCATTTCACAGAGTTATTCACATTTTATTTTTGTGGCATGAGCAGCTAAAATCTCATTTACCATGAATCCCAAATACAGTGCAATTTTATTACCTATAGTCCAGTCCTCATGTTGTACATGAGATCTCTAGACTTGTTCATCCTACATATCTGTTAATTTGTGTCATCTGGCATCCATCTCCCCAGTTCCTCCCTACTCAACCCCTGCCTCAGTAACCACTGCTTTGTTCTTTATTTCTGTATTTTTTTTAAGAAAAGGTTCCACGTGCATGTGAGTTCATGCAATATTTTTCTTTCTGGGTCTGGCTTATTTCACT